AAAAAGTTTCAAAAATTGGAATATGGGGCATGGGTGGCATAGGAAAGACCACCATAGCAAGACTCATGTTTGTGAAATACTTTGCACAATATGACAGTGTATGCTTCATGGAAAAGGTAAAAGAACAATCAGAAAAATTTGGAATAACACAAGTGCGTAATAGCATTTTCACGGAGCTACTAAAGAGAGAAATTACTACATCTGATGTTCTTGGAGACACATTCATTAAGAGAAGGCTCAGTGGTAGGAAAGTTTTCATCGTACTTGATAATGTGGGTAATGCTACACAATTAGATGATTTGTGTGGAGAACTTGATGAGCTTGGACCCAACAGTAGACTCATTATCACAACAAGAGATCGACACACACTCAAGGGAAGAGTTGGTGCTATACACGAGGTTAAAAAGTGGAACTTTGAAGAATCTTTAAATCTTTTTACATTTGAAGCCTTCAAGCAAAGCCTTCCCCAAAAGGGTTACGAGGGCCTTTTGGAAAGGGTTGTTGCATATGCAGGAGGCGTTCCATTAGCTTTGAAAGTTTTAGGTTCTCATTTTCATACTAGAAGACCTGAATTTTGGAAATCTGAATTGGACTATTTGAAGGTCAAAAGAGAATGCATGAATGAAATTAAAGAAGTGCTACAATTGAGCTATAATGGATTAACAGAGCGGGAGAAGGAAATTTTTCTAGACATTGCATTTTTTTATGAAGGTGAAACTAAAGATTTCACCACAAAGATACTAGATGTATGTGGTTTCGGTGCTACAAGTGGGATAGAAATACTTGAAGATAAAGCTCTTATAACCATTTCAAATAGCAATAGAATACAAATTCATGACTTGCTACAAAATATGCCTTTTGATATAGTTCGTAATGTCCAAGGAATGCGCAACCGATTGAGGGATATTGAAGAAGTTCGTGATGTACTTAAACATAAAAAGGTAAAAGACACTAATATTTTTTAACACGTGTTCATAGTTTTACTGCAACTGATTTTCTATCGCTTATGAACTTCTTTTGTTTAAGAGGTTGATGTTTTTTTTTTAATTCAGGGGGCTGATGTTGTGGAAGGCATAATACTCGATTTGTCTCAAAAATCAAATTTATATGTCAAATCCGGCGCATTTGACATGATGGTTGATTTAAGATTTCTAAGATTATATGTCCCCTTGGGGAAGAAGAGTTTGGCTACCTTGAATCAATCTTATCAAGGCATTATGCAATTTTCTGATAAGCTTAGATACTTTGAGTGGAATGGAAACCCTATAAAGTGTCTTCCAGATCCTTTTTGTGCTGAGTTTCTTGTTGAGATTCGCTTGCCACACAGCAATGTAGAATACCTCTGGCACGGGAGGCAGGTGTGTATGCATATTTGTGTCCACACTTAAAATGCATTTAATTTATACTCGCTTCTTGTTTTACAAATACACCAAATAATATGTAGTATTTAAATTTATTCAAAATTTGAAGAGAAATTATTATATGACTTCTCTTTTTGAATTGTTACAGGAACAGATTTATAACTACAAATACTTTCTTGTTTTCGTAGTTCTAAATTCTGATATGTAACTGCAACTGCGGCTACAATATAAAGGTTTTGAGGTCTCCACAACCCCAATTGCAGAAGCATTTCACAGAGTAGCCTTAAATGTGACATGACTTACAATTTAGAATCATATGCAGCTCATACCATAAATCAATGTTTGTAGCTTTAAATTAATTGCAGATTATGTTTTTCTCTAGGGGACCAGCTTGCTATTGGAGTGTCATTATCAGTGTTGTGCTCACCAGCAGGGCCATTTTCCAGAGAATGAAAAATTATACTGTTAGTTTCCTTTGCATATCTAATTCTTGTGCTACAGAATACCTGAGTAACATTTTTAGTTTTCTAATCGCAGAATGTTTGACTATGGAACATATTTATGTTGTGTCAATCACCATCCGTATTGTGGTATGTGTTGAATTTAGCGACTTTTTTCTATGTACTTACCCTTTAAATTGTAAATATACTTAATAACCGTTGATTTTTCATTTTGACAGTTCGGTTTAATGTTGATTGCTTTGATTTGGAAATTTGATTTTGCACCTTTCATGGTTTTGATCATTGCAATACTGAATGATGGTAAGAATAAGATAGCATTTTCATTACTTCAGGTTAGTTCTACATTTTCTAATGATCAATACATGCTCCAACTAATGATCAACACATGCTCCAACTCCTGCAACTGATGCCAACAGTGTCTTACGCTCTTCTACATCAACACATGCTCCAACTAATGATCAAGTAAGATTTGTTACATTCCTATGTTTTAAGAGATTTTATATATGTGGATTATTTACTTGGAGTGGATTATTTTATTTTTGATCCTTCGAATAATAATCTTATTTAAGTTATATTATTTTTATTTTGCAGGTCATGAATGATAATATAAATAAAGATTTTGAATTTGAAGATGAAGAAATGTAGATGTAGAGATGTAGATGTTTAAGTTTAATTTTATAGATTAAAGATGTTATTTTGACTATGAATGATGATTGACATTGGGATCGATATGTAATTTGAAGATGTTTTGTTGATTGTGAATCAATGATTGACATTATAATATTTAAATGGGTTATGTTATGTACTTTTTTTATATGCAAGATCAGGTTTATAAAAAAATTGAAGATTTTTTTTAAATGTTTTGTTGGATCATTTTCAATTTGAAGATGTTTTGTATTTGAATATTATTATATAAAAAAATTGTGAATGATGTTATTATCAAGTTTATAAAATAAAATAAAAATTTATTTTATTAAAAAATAAATAAATTTATTTGGTTTATAAAATAAAATAAATTTTTTTGCAACAGTTACAAAGTGTGTCTGTAGTAAAGAAGGCGTTGCTATAACCTATGAAGAAAAATTGAACTTAAGCCTCTATTAGAACGGTTTAGAATAGGCTACGGCTAAGAACCGTTGCTATATTCCATAAAATAGCCGTTCTCTAATAAACAACAATTGCAACGGTTTACATTTGAAAACGGCCTCCAGCCGTTGCTGTACCAAACCGTTCTCTTTATAAAATTACAACAACGGCTCTGAATAAGGCGTTGTCGTTGACTAATAAACCGTTCCTAAAGGCTAAAACAACGCCTTGGTTTAGAACGCCCTGAAAACCGTTCTCATAGATAAAGGCAACGGTTTTTTTAGATTTTGCAACGGTTTTTTTGTGTTGTTGTATATTCAAAATGTTGTAGTGTATTTTCGAGTTTGTTAGGTTCATTGTCAGCCCTACTTGTGTTCAATATAGATCATTATCATAGAAAGGTTATGTCAGATCACACAATATTTTCGTCATTTGAGTAGCAATGATGTGTTGCTCGATACTGTTCACTGTTTATAATATTTAATAGGTGATTTAATATTATTGTCAACGTTACGACAACCTTCATAGTCACACTCATAGAGTATTTAAAGTAAATACTGTTTAATTTAATTATGTTTTAACAATATTTAAACTATTTAATATAATAACACATAAATTTTATTTGATTAAATATGATTTAATTAAATAAATGAGAGTTGATAGTTAATTGAGTCAAATAATTGAATTTAATTGTTTAATTTAATTTAATTCTTATTTTTAATTAAATATAAATAAGACTGGGCTAATTTTGGAAAAGTTCAAAATAGATGCTATAGGGTTTTAGTAGCTCTCTATAATTAGAGAAGTTATTTCCCCTCCAATCCTAGTTTTTAGTTTTTGTCATTATCAAAAAACAGCTAGCACTGTCTTTCATTTTGTTCTCGCATGAATTTCGTAGAGTCGATGGTATTATCCACGTTCGTGATCAATGTTAAAGCACACTTCAAGAGGTAATTTGAAAACCTTACTTTGTTTTTGATTCTTGATTAATGATTAATCAAGATCTGTTCATTGGAATTGTTCCTTTAAGAGGACAATTTTTTTTCAAAAAACAAACTCTTAAATCTCTTCGTGGACTTTGTAATAAAGGCTTCCTAGTTAGGAATGTGATGTAGATCATTATTTTCAGACCATTTTTGAAAATCTCTCATGTTTTTTTTTGGAAAGAAGTTGAACAGCTATGTGATCATAAGATTCAAGGATCACATTAAGGTCCCCAATGTAGCACCGGGGAATTCTAGGAAAAGAGAGAGATAAAAGTTTATACCATAGTTTCCTTTTGATCAAGTGACAACTTAAGGCATAGACAACTGCTACTCCTCAAAATGTGTTCATAATGGATATAGTAAAAGCCACATGTTAGGAATCACTAGTTACTATAACAGGATAAACTCATTTTTACAAATACACCAAATTTTTGGTAAGGATAAGTCTTTATCATTCATCACAAACATCTTGAGACCTAATGTCAGTAGCCATTTGGAAGAGAATTTTATAAAACTCATCCAAGGCTTAGCAATTATTACTAAGTCAGGCTTAGAGGATATAACTGATCTTGTAAGGGCCAATCTAAAAGGGGCATTGGCTAGTCCCCTAATCTTCCAAAAAAGGCACTTCATGTAGTCTTTTTGAAAAGACCAACCTTTGACCTGGTTCCATAGCTACTCTATTGGCCTTAGATTTCTTCTTCCTTGTCTTGGAAGCCACCATCTTGAACCTTGAGGGAGCTCAAATCTTGTCAATAACTTCCAATAATCTTTGGTCACCATCTTCTCCCTCAATCATATTTACCCAAGATTCCTTTAGAAATTGTCTATTTTCACGTGTATTAAAATATTTATTGAGCATGTCCATGTCCTTATCCTTATTAGAGAATTGTGTAGCATCAACAAACTCAGATCCCTAAGAATTGTATTAACCATCCGCTTTTTTTTTTATTAGAAACATTCATAATTCATACTTATACAGGTTTACCTCATATATATTTTCAAAACTAAGAACTCAAATTCAACAAAATAGAAACACATCCACTGAAATTACATCAATTTCATTTAAACTTTCAAGTTATAAGAGATAAATTAAGTTCATCTTCTTAGCGTGAATCACTATGTGTAACTACTTTCTGTTGTAAAAAAGTCTTAAACCAAATGGCTGACATTTTTGGATATCTTTTGAAGCTATTATTGTAATCTACAAAGAAAATTCCAAATCTCAAGGTGTAACCTGAAATCCATTCAAAGTTGTCCAGCAATGACCAGGCAAAATATCCTTTCACATTTGCGCCATCCCTAATAAAGTGATACATTAAACATATCTACAATCAATTACTATAAAAAAAAAAAAGAAGAAGTAATATTTAAATAAGAAAAACTAATGCTTAGATACGAAAAATGAAATGTAAATGTTTTAAATAAGTCATTTAGAGGGAGAATTAGAGTCAAATTTCACACTATTACTTGAAAAATATTATTCCACAAATTAAATTATTTTCTTGTAGAGTTTTGCTCTTTTAGTTTGACGAAACATACCTTATTGCATTTTGAAGATAATAGAGATGATCATAGTAATAATCAATCCTAGTTGTATCTTCAAGGGCTTTCTCAAGCGAAATTGTTGGATCATTCAAATCATCCATGCCTAAATATGGTTTCATCATATAATAATTTACCATAAAAATTATATGAAACAAGGAAATAACCATTAGCACAAATTTCCTTCCTAAATTTTTGTATAGATACAAAATAAAATTTTCAACTTATAGAAATAGTTTAAAAATAAATATAAATATTGCATAACTATTACCATTTTCAGTGATGTAAATCAAAGGATTGTTGTAATTGTTTTTAATATAGAGCAACAATTCATGAAGTCCCTTTGGATAAATTGACAGCCAAGATGAAGCAGACTGCATCAATAATCAGTTTTATTTACATTAAAAAATTCTAAAAAAAATTTAAAATTTAAAATAAAAAATTATATTCAATTAAAGATTAAATTATTATCACATATACATACAGTTGGACCAATAGGTATTCCATTGCGCTCCTCTGTCAAAAAAAGCATCATACCCCATTGTTAACATGACTGGAAAATAATTTGTATCAATGGTTATCTCAACAATCCTCTTGCATGTTGTATAGGAATCACTTAAACCTATTGGCTGTCTAAATTTGACTATAATTTTTTTCCCACACATTTAAGACATGTTAGTAGTTTTTTAAAATTAAAGTAAGATTCTTAATGTATTCTATTAATGATATATCTTCATAAAGACACTTACGTGTAAGAATTATAAGAGGATCAGTGATGTAGTTGGACTTTTCTTCACTTAGTTCAGGTGCATTGGTTGCATAGTATGAAGCATAATAGTTTAAACCAATAAAATCAAAAGACCCTCTTACAAGCTTTACTTGATATGCTGAGAACTTTGGTAACCGACTCCCTACCAAGGATCGCATGGAGCTTGGATAGTCTCCTATTGTCAATGGATCCATAAACCTGCAATATATGCAATTTTCAAAATTGCTCCACTAATCAATGGCATGACTTAAAGTGTCAACAAGTAGTTACATCATGTTATCGTTATCTTTCACTATAAATAATATTTATATAGATGATGATTAATGTAGTTTAATTAGTTCTGTTGTTAGTTAATTTAATCCTAGATTAATTAGAAGTTAATTAATATGGTGGTTAGTTCTGTAACAAGAGAATATATTGCTCTAACTTTATGTTCATAAAGTAGTTAATTACCATCCAAACATAAAATCAATGGCTCTTTGTGTAGCATGATGATCCAGTTCTGTTTCATAGAGTGGCATTATCCAATAAGACACTAGTGTTATCCCTATTTTTCCTTTTTGAGAAGCCTACATGCATAAAGGAAAGCAAATTTTAAATTTGAATATAAATTATAACTAATTAAGCAACACACAAAAATATAACTTAAAATAAAACCTGATATTGAGTTTTGTAGACATTTACAGCAGATGCATGAGCAAGTAATTGATTATGAGCCACTATATAAGGTTCAGTGGCAGAGTCTCCACCAGTGCAATTAGGGTTTTGCCAATGTGAACATCGTCCAGGTGCGAATGTCCCTTCAGCATAACCGTGTTTGGCAAAGCTCCATGGTTCATTCATTGTGATCCAATGCTTTACTCTATCTCCAAATAATTTAAAGCAAAGTTCTGCATAATCTCGATAATCATTCCTGAATATAATGACAGTACGAGAAAAAAAAAATGGCTGAGATGCTTAACTTAACGACAATTGATTATCTTTGGTTAAAAAAAATGTGAATTACACTATATTTGAACTTAGAAAGCCACCATATTCATCTTCAAGTGTCTGAGGAAGATCCCAATGAAAAAGGGTTACAAAAGGTTGAAGACCTATATTCAAGAATGAAACTAAATCATTTAAAAAATAACTTGTAAAATGGAAATAAAATATAATAAAGATAATATATGATAACCTTTGGTTAATAACTCATTGATAAGGTTGTTGTAATAATTTATTCCTTCTTTGTTTACACCACCACCAAGTTTTCCTTCTGAAATGAGTTAAGGAACCTAACATTATTGTCATTAACTTACATAACAATAATTGGTTTATTATAATCACTAAAGAAATATATATTTTTTAAAAGTTTCCATAAGATAAATTCTTAGTTATAGTTTCAATTTTCTTACTTGGCAGTATTCTGGACCAGGAGATGGAGAACCTATAAGCATCCATATTCACGTCCTTCATGATCTCAACATCTTTCTGTAAGTTTAAATTTCTAACTAGTAAATAATTAAAAACAATATCTTCGATGAGCATGGTCATTGTTTAATTATACTAATCACATACAAGTAACAAAATCATGGTCACATGTTTGTAAAAGCTTAGGATCTTACCTTATAGATATGATATTCATCGACGGCTACATCTCCGTTACTTCTGTCATTTATCATTTCTATATCAACAACAAAATGTAGAGGTGTTTTAACCAAAAGGAATAAATGAAATATTTCTGTTAGTTTTATCTATATAAAAATTGGTTAGAATCAACATAGCATTATCATACTATTATGGAAGATATGAGACGTTTTGTAGGGGAATATAAACTAAGGCTAAACCTGTTATAATTTATGATAGGGGAAGACGCAAAGCAGGCACAGAAGATGAATATTGGACTAAGGTTTCTTGCAAAAAAATCAACAGGATCTAACAGAAGATTGGACACAGAAAGTAGGACAAGGGGGAAGATTGTTAAGGAGTTTACGACGGTTTTTTTACTGAGTTCCCGAAGCACCTTAGAGAGAAGGATATTTACAAGTTGTTTGCAGACTTTGGGATATTGATGAAGTTGTCATACCACCGAAGAAGGATAAGAGAGGCAAGAAAGATGGTTTTGTCAGGTTCGTTGAGGATAGGGATGTGAGGAGCTTGGTTTTGAAGATATATAATCTGTTGGAAATTCAACTCACACCTTATGAAGAATTCCCTTCAATCTTGATCTCAAGATTGATGAACAAACTCGCAATATGATAGTAATGATGATAACAAGTAAAGAGTTATCAAGAACAGCAAAAAAAAAAAGAACAACAAACAACAAGAAAGAGAAGAATGAGAGAAAATTGAGTTACCCACAAACGGTGGGATTTCTGATTTCTATTGAACCTTCACTTGTTAAACTCTGCAACTGTGAATTATGTTCTATGTTGAATACAGAGCAAGGCACCCTATTTATAGTTTTAGGTTTACAAAAGCCCAAAACATAAAAGGTCCAAAATATTCAAATCAAATCTGTTTCGATACACTATGAATTACATTTAGCACACCACCTAATTCATTGTGTCTAAACTGTCTACATTCATCATGGCTCTTAGTCTTCTGAAGGTTTCGACCTGCACTCCCTTCGTCATGATATCTGCAATCTGATTCTCAGTTCTGCAGTGTTCCAACTTCATTTTCCCTTCTGCTACCTGCTCTCGAAGATAATGGAATCTCATTTCGATGTGCTTGCTTCGACCATGAGCTATTGGATTCTTCGTCAAGTTGATAGCTGACATGTTGTCTATCCTCATGGTAATTGCTCCATGATTCTTCCCTGTGATTTCTTCGACCAAGTTCACCATCCAAGTTGCTTGACATGCACAAAGAGAAGCAGCTATATGTCGCTACTGCGAAAATCGGCGACAGTTGGCGACTCTGCTGGCGACTCCAACGGTTCCCTATGCGAGTCAATCCTAACGCTTGTTTTCCCGTCGAGGATTTCGTATGGATTTACTTTTTCTGTATTTTACATTCAGCATTATATTTATGTTATTATTGCTGTGGGTATGAGGGGGGTCTATGATTGAGAGATAAGCCGGACCTGGGCTTGAGTGCACTTAGAATTAGAGTGGAAATTAGTGGGCGCGTGCATGCTTTGCATGTACTAGTGTCTCATGAAATCCACGCTCGGACGAGGTTCTTCTGGTTGACTTCTTTTTCAACCCTTTGGGTTGAGGGGGTTGTTGGTTAGTTGGATTGTCGACTCCGGGGACCGATCATTTGAAAGTTGGCTAAGTGAGGCCTCTTCAGGACAAGATGATGTCACACCTTCTGGGTATCGTATCATCAGTCTTGAAAGTTTGTGACGCCAACGACCGCATAGGATGCCATACCTTGTGTCAGTTATTAGGACACCTACCTGTGAGAGGGATTGGGACATGCAGGTAACTTGACCTCCAGATTACCGGTTTTCTTGATTGAGATTCAGTGCTGTGATATTTGAGGACAATGTTATTAGGTCTGTCAGAGACCAGGTTGGAGCATTGTGGATGATCTTGAGCAGTTTGTGGGTCTATTTGAGGCCAGTGTTATGGATTGGATTTCTCAGCCAGGGGCATTTGATCCCTTGTTGCATTGCTTGCATATTGCATTGTTTGCATCATCATGTGCATATCATTAACGTGTGTCTGTGCTGCAGGTGCATTTGCATACTTCCCGATTCTAGTGCCTCAGACTTCTATCTGTTATTATGAGTACTTTGAGGAAGACTGTTGCGTATAAGTTGCCTACCCCTGATGTGACTTCTCTGTTGGGGCTGATATCCCTAGCTGACGATGATGTGAGGAAAAGTTTTAGAAAGAGTTATGGGAAGCTACTGAATTTGGTTTGCAGACCAACTACATATGAGCTGAATGGGTTATACACATTGATGCAGTTATATGATCCTTCCTTGAGGTGTTTTATGTTCCAGGACTTTATTTTGGCTCCGACCATGGAGGAGTACGCTGAGTTTCTAGAGTTGTCAGTTCAGAATAGAGTGCCCTTCATTCGCTTTGATGCTAAGCCTAAGCTGGAAGACTTAGCTGTTCCCTTGCATATGGATCCTGCAGAGCTGTTGTTGACTTCCTGGCATGGAGTTTCTGGGTTTTCTCTCAATTTTTTGGTTGGCAAAGCTCAAGAATATGCCAAAAGTGGCTGCTGGATTGTGTTTAACGTTGTTCTTGCCTTGTGCATATATGGGATTATGTTGTTCCCTAATCTGCCTGAGTTCGTTGATTTGGATGCATTCCACTTGTTTGCTGCAGGCAACCCGGTGCCTACATTGATTGGAGATTTCTACCATTCCTTACATTATAAGAATGAAAACAGAAGGGGAAAAAATGTCCATTGTCGTGTGCCTTTGCTGAACATGTGGTTTGAGAGCCATCTGCCCAAGAAGGGTCCTTTTGTCGAGTCTGCACATACAGCTGAATAGTCTGAGCGTCTAATGGGGCTTTCTTCAGAAGACATTATCTGGTTCGACAGAGATTTATTGGGGTCAGAGATTATCTTTAGTTGCGCCGGGTTTCCCAACGTTCCTTTGATTGGAAGGAAGGGATGTATTAATTACAACCCATCTTTGTTGGTTCGACAGTTTGGGTATGCTCTGAAGAGTCCGCCGCAGGAAGAAGAGATACAGGAATCTCTGTATTTCACTGGTGAACTGAGTGGGAAATTATTGGCCAAGCTTCAGCGCGCTTGGAATCATATCTGCAGAAGAGGGAAACCATTGCTAGGCAAGAATGATTTTCAAGCCTATATGCCTTACAAGACGTGGATTCAGGAGAGGGTAAGACAGGTGCAGATGCCTTTTCCAGCAGTATCACGTCCTGTTCCCATTCCAGTGGAGGAACCAACTACTGTAGCTATTGAGGTCTATGAGCGGGTTGTGAAAGAAAAAGAAGACTTGATAAAGATCAATGAAGAGTTAGAGAAGGAATTGGCTCAGATACGGAGTGAGAAGAACAAGGTTGTGTATTCCTTCCAACAGCAGACTGAGTTGGTAAACAGGCTAGGTGTTGAACTGATAGAAGAGAAAAAGAAGCGTGAACGCCTGGGAAAAGAATTCAGAAGCTCTCATGATATGTTAGAGTCCAAGAAGAAGTCACTCGATGCCGCCTACAGGGAAATCTCTTCGTGCAACAAAACGTGGAATGCTACGCTAACCAACAACAAAAAGAGGGAAGAAAAATTGCAGCAGCAAATTTCTGAACTCGAAGATCAGTTGAAGGCTAGCAAGAGAAAGTATGAAGAGGAGGTTATGACAAGATATAGTCTTCAGAATTCATTGAACAAAGCCATCGAGTGCAAGAAGGAGGTTGTGTCTCAGAAACGGAAGTTAGAAGAGCGCTTCGGAGAAGGGGCATGGGAGGAATCTGCTGGTAATTTACGACATGTTCTCAAGCAAAGAGATCTGCTTGTCGAGGGTTTGCTTGCTCAACCAAACCATCCCGAGACTAAGAGATTATTGGAGGAGTACCAGGCGTACGGTGGCACTTGACTATTTCATGTATTGATGTGTATGCTTTATTTGCATTGTGCTGGCCATCACCAGGATTGTTGGTTGAGGTCATGCCTTCTTATTGTACGCTCATTGGTATTGTATTCCTGACTTGATGGGATTTTTCTGCAATGTATGAGATGTTTTTCTATGATTGGGTTCCGAGCTTCTTATTGTTGTCACTGTCACCGCACTGGCACATTAGCACTAGAATTGGGGAGCGATATTCCCTAATGCACAGACACATGTTGCATTTGCATACACATTCGTATTGCATTACAGGTGATTATTGAAATGTATCTCATTTCCTGCATTATCCAGGGTTTTTCCAGGATTGAAAGTCAATGTCCTCACCGATACTCTACTCGTACCAACTGCAAAAGAGTTATGGACCAGGTGCAGAGCGAGATGCAGGACATGCGCGAGAAGCTGGCGCTGCTCATGCAGACGATGGAGACAATTGTGAAAGGGCAGGAAAACTTGCAAACTTTGGTGCAGCCATTGCTGATGAGAAATGCTGGGCACAGAAACGAAGACCACAATTCTGTACGTGTTGACACCATTCACGGGGATGGTACTCCTACACCTGTAGCTCCACCTGTGGTGAATATACCTGCTGTGAACGTGAACAATGGCGCTGGCGCCGGGAATGGTAATACAGGAATCGGTAATGAGACTGTCATTAACAACGTTGGGTTCGGAGACGCCAATCTGGGCGGGGACAATAATGGAGGTAATGGCTTTGGTAACAACGGATTTGGCTATAACGACCAGGGGTTTGATTATGCTAACCAGGATGGGAAATTTGGCTTCAATGCTCCGGGTTTCGGACATGACGGATTTGGTAATGCCAATCAGGGATATGGTGGATCCGGTAACGGAAATGGTGCTGGAATGATGCCTTTTGGACCTGCCGGGGTCACTCAGGGATATGGTAACAGGGGACGGGGCCCTGTAATGAATCAGACTAGATTTGGTCGTAATAATGGGTATGATGGGTACGGAAATGAGAATGCTAACTGGATGGAAGACCAACAAGATGATGCTTTCTCTGGTAGAGGTTTTGAAGGTCCTGTAGACAACACTCAGCGAATCAAGATGCTCGAGGAGCAGATGAAAGGTGTTGTGAATCAAAGTGCTGTTGGTTTAGATATGAC